TTTCGTGAAATTAAGTTGCTTTTTTCGATCAGGCCCCTTACGTCAGCATCATCTTCGCCGATCTCCATGCTCGTGCTTGCGCCCTTTGTACAACTTGCTTCGGAAGTAGCCATATTTCTCACCTCTTTGATGGCATGTTCGAGGGATTTCTCTACTTGCGTAGCTGCAGCTTCCATTCTACAACCACTAGACCCGTGCCCGAGTCTACCGCATTTCCAGCATCTTGTGAGAAGTCGCGTCATTCTATAGACCCTTGCAGCAGTCCACCCTATCCTGATTCTTCCCCTATTGCAGAGATTATCAGGGCCGTCGTGTCCATCCAGGGTTCTGTGATGAGTTTTGATGGCATGTTCGAGGGATTTCTCTACTTGCGTAGCTGCAGCTTCCATTCTACAACCACTAGACCCGTGCCCGAGTCTACCGCATTTCCAGCATCTTGTGAGAAGTCGCGTCATTCTATAGACCCTTGCAGCAGTCCACCCTATCCTGATTCTTCCCCTATTGCAGAGATTATCCGCACATTTCTTCGGGGCCTTGATCAGGGCCGTCGTGTCCATCCAGGGTTCTGTGATGAGCCTCACCACTTCTACCTGCTCTTTCTCATCCGGTGCCAGCCCTTCCTCTTCAGCTATAGCATTCTTGATCTCTTCTTCTGTAATCGTTAATTCCAAGCCTCTTATTTTAATACCTTCTCTCTCTCTTAGTTGCCTAATTGCTACTTCATTTCCTAACTTGCCCTTCAGTTCCTTCCCCCAGGTTTCTGCTTCTTCTTGGTTTTCCATTTCGAAAAGAACCCCCCCGGTTCGTGTCTTTCTTATGCTTTTGATCTTGGCTCCTTTCGGGGATCCTACCTTATTTTTTATTACTTGGAAGGCCTGTTCGTATGTGCCCTCCATTTTAACAAAGACAGCGGCTCCCTTCTTATATCCGCTCTTCGCTCCTGTTGCAGCGACCTTTCCAACGTCCCTGCCCTTGGGCAATTCTCTTTTACTTTTACCTTCTCTGACCTTGGCAGCCCATGAGCCCTGAGCCCTAAAGTCCTCCGTCTGTGTGCCAATTGACCTTGTATTTTTCAGGTTAGTGCCTCCACGTTTCTCGACGCTAGTCTTGCTTATTTCGTCCTGAACCTGAAGGTGTTCCTTCATTAACTCAATTTCCCTATTAATCATCATGTTCATGCTGTTTGAGTTTTCGATCCCAGTTGGGTTTTCTACACCTGTTGCGTTTTTCCGTAAGGTCATCCTTACGTCGCATCTTATGGCGTCGTGGCCAGGCTTAAGGCAGTTATAACAAAGCTTTTCCTTGCTCTTGCAGTGTGTCTTGTTGTGCCCTACCTCCCCGCAGTGGAAGCAACGCCTGTTGTCCTCAAACCTGGAAGCTTGCACCCTACTCCATCCTATTCTGATGTACCTATTTTTAATTAGTTTCACCGCTATTTCCTCCTCCACCATGATACATGCGCTAGTGTTTCCTCTTCGATTTTCGCGGATAAACATCACGGCGGCTTCGGAGTCACCGGTTCGTTGTCGTATCTCCTCTTGCAGTTCCTCCTTGTTAGTAGTGAGTTCGAGGTTTTGTAGGAAAACTCTACCCTTCCTTTTCCCTATCCTAACTAGCTCCATGCCAATGTCACCTAACCTACCCTCCAAAATCTTTTTGTCCCTTTCTTTTTGCAGTACAATTAAGATGTCCTCAGAGTCTCTTACCCTTCTAACTCCTAGGATGCTAAGGCTTCCAGCATCAACCCTTTTTTTAATTTCAGTTAGCTTACCCTTATAGCTCTCTCCTTTGTCCGTATTTACTCTCACCCTAATGGCCTCCGTCCTTTCTGTCACCTTGTCCTTGATAATTTCTTCCACTGTCTCGATTTGTCTACCTGTGTCCTCGTCCTTGTTCCTCCTTTTTCCGGGTGGAGTCTTACTTGTAGGAGATTCTTCCATGTCCTCTTCCCCTTTTCCTTCTCTTTTCCTTTTATTTTCAAGGTTGCCTTCCCTATTTTCTTCTTCGCATTCACCTTTATCCGTGCCACTCTCGTCCTCCCGAATTCTATTCTGGACCCAGTCATGTATCCTCGTTGTACCTTTCTTCCAGATGTTGGCCATGTCTTCCCTCAGCTGCCGACTAAAGCCCTTCCTTCCAGCCGCTTTTTCGATTGCCGCTTGTACCTTCAGTGGCCAATCGGTAGTAATTGCCAAAACTTCCTCCATTTCCGTGCTCTCGATGGCTATCGCGTTTTCCAATAAGCTCACCATCCTGTTCAGATCCCTATCAATTTCCTTCCTAGTTTCCCTTCCCAAATTCCCGCTGGTATTATAAATTGAAATTATCCTCCTAGTGTCTTCTATCGTTTCACCCAGTAACTTCCCCTTTCCTTTAACCTTTTCCTGTCCCTCCGTACTTGGTGTGGCTGTTAATTCGTTCATGTCCCTTTCTGTTCCTACTTCATTTACGCATCTTTTTGGATCATCCCCCCCATCCCCATTTGTTTTTTTGTTTGTAAAAGAATTCATAATCGTTCCCACGAAAGGGGTCGGAAAGAGAGTCCACCCAGGCAGAGCCGCCCTTGCCTGGGTAAGGCTTTTACGCCCCGGGGGGCGCCCGTTCCCCGGGGGTGGACGCTAGCGACTGATGCTCCCACCAGCCACGCTGCAGTGTGCAGGACTGCAACGCGCCCTCATCACCACGTGCCGCAGCTTGGGGCTAAGGATTTTAGAAGAGGTTGTCTCCCCTTGGGCCAGCCAACCAAGGCAAGCCCCCCGTTCCTGCGAGACATGACCACAGGTCTACGGTATAGGTACTCTACCTGGGTTTGTAAAAACCTACATTTCTCCCAATTAATCAGTAAGCCTGACTCGCACGCGACGCTCAAGACAGTTTTTCAGACCTCTTAGCGCGTTCTCGGGATCGGTCGACGGAATGATTAAATCGTCCGGTTCTATTGCCTATCCGTTTCCTAAACACAGTATTTATGAATCTTTGAAAGACCGCTGGTGAATTACAAAGGCCAAATGGAACCCTTAGAAATTCGTACTGGCCGTCGAGTACAACGAAAGAGGTATACCGCCTACTGTCTCTGTTCATCCTCACGTGGAAAAATTCGTCTTTAAGATCGAGCGTGCTATAGATCTTCGCGCTTTGCAATAAGTCCAATTGATCTTCTATGATCTGATATCGGTTCTTAATTATTTTCTTGTCCAACAATTGATAATCTACGCAGAGTGTCGAAATTCCATTCTTTTTCTTCACTAATACCACCGAGCTGGCATATTCCGAAAGGGATGGTTGGACAACCTTGTCGTGTAGCCATTCTTGAATTTGAGAATTGACCGTGTCCCTTTCCACTGGAGATAGTCTCCTCGCGCGCTGAAATACCGGTTCGTCGTCCTTTAATATTATCGTCATTTCCATTTCGGTTTCGCGTGTTCTGTTCGGTTTAAAGCTGTCTATCATCTCGGCTAGAATGCTCCTATGCTGTGCGGCCTTGACGTATGAAACGTCTACCCCGTTTACCTCATGCTCGATATTAATTTTGTAAATATGCGGGCTGATTGTTCCCGCTCTACGAGTAGTGATCTGCCCTTGGCTGACGATCAAGTCCACCGCGTCTGAGAAATTCGTGCCTAGCAATAAATCGTGCGGCGTTAATCTATCGGGTACCACTCGAACCGTTATGGGGTAAGAATCCTCATCTATTAGTATTTTTGTTTCGAATTCGCCCACGGCTTTATTTGTACCCGATCCTATGCCACGGAAATAAATTTCTCTTCTCTTTAACACGGGCGCTCTACGTTCGAGTTTATCATATTACTCGTTACGCATTAGACATAAATCGCTACCCGTGTCGATCAAGATTGCCATCTCGCGCTCGCAAACGGATATTTTCTTGAAATATTTCTTACGTAGTGTTCGCTGCACATCTAGGATTTCCTCGGTCGCAGATGTCTTCCTCTCCGGGCAATTCATCGCAATGTGCCCGAATTCTCTACATTCGAATGGACACTCGAAGAAAAGATGCTCTCAGTCGCCGCAGTTATAACACCTTCCCGGCGGTGCGTCCTGTCCTTCTCGTTGCTGGGATCCGTCGTCTCGTCGTTGAATCCCGTCGACTCGTCGTTGAACCCCATCGTCTCGTGGTTGAACCCCATCATCTCGTCGTCGAAAACCGCCGTCTCGTCGTTGCCTGCTTTCTGGCCGCTGGGGCCCGTAAGATGTTCGCGATATCGCACCACCCCCACGCTGATTCGAGCCGTTGGATCGCTGCATTTCTGCTCCGCTCCACTGTGCACCGCTAGTTTTCTGTCCATATGCTTCCACACCAAATCTTACCCCTCTCTGAGTAATGGGCGATAATGTTACCCCTCTAAAGGTTTCTAGAAGTGACGCTTTCGTCGAAAACTTCTGCAATTTTGCATGGTTTCACAATGAGTGATCCGGTATGCTGTCTATTAGGTATTCGATTAACTCATCTTCACCGATCGAGATATGGTTGGCCAAGATCGCTTTTTCGTGGAAACATTCCGCGAATGTCTCCCCTTTTTCCATGTTCGTCCCTCGAACTTTCTGCGGGCTGCGGTCCTGCTCTACCGATCATCGAAAACGTCCCTCAGTTCCTTCACTATATCGTCAATCCGCATTTCGATACGCTCCAGTTTTGAATGAAACCACTTCAGGGTTTTATTTGAAGTAATGTGGTTACGAATAATAAGGCGTGATTAGGGTTACGCTATGTACCCACACGGTAGTAGTGAGATCTTTATTAAACGTTGGCTGATGGCTTTGGAGGTTCGTGCAAGACTCGCTTTTTTCCTACTGCCTTTCGGATACGTGTTAATCATCCCTGATTGGTTAACCCGTCGCATCGGTGTTAACCAATCAGGTAATTTCTTTTTGAGTCGCTGCGTGTCCCTTGCGCCCTTGGCGCGCTTTTTCGGGGACCGCATGTGATTCCCTGGTCACCAACGCCTACGTTGATCCTTGGTCAGGAAGGGGTGCCAGCTGCTTCACGTTGCGTTTATATATGCCGTTGATGGTCGGGTGATCCCGTCTGCACCCGGATGAATCTCCTCGACTTGTCCCAGATGCCAGAATAGTGGTGGGAGATTGTTCTCCTTGAGAACGATCACTGTTCCTTTCTTAATGTCGTGCGAGCTCTTGGTCCATTTTTGCCGCACGTTCAGATGGTGGATGTATTCCTTATACCATCTCGACCAGAAATCTCGTTTCACCTCCTGTATGTGCTGCCAATTTGATAAGCGATTGGCTGGTGTTTTCCTGAAATCAGTCTCGGGTACGCTCGTTAAGGAACCACCAATCAAAAAGTGACCCGGAGTCACTGCAGTAAGATCGTTGGGATCTGAGGAGAGGGGGGATAGCGGACGGGAATTTAGGATTGCTTCGACTTCAATGACGAAGGTGTTAAATTGCTCGAACGTAAACAATTCTTCACCCACAACACGTTTCACATGGTGTTTGAAGGATTTCACGGCAGCCTCCCAAAGTCCTCCGAAATGAGGTGACAAGGCAGGCATGAAGTGCCACGTGACTTCCTTGTTCGGAAGGAATCTTCGGACCTTGTCCTCCTGGAGCGCCTGGTATACCTCCGTCAACTCGTTATTCGCGGCAACGAAATTTGTGCCGTTGTCGGAATAAATGTTGTGGCAGAGTCCTCTTCGAGCCATGAAGCGTTTTAAGGCCGCGATGAAGGCCTCGGTGTTCATGTCGCTCACAACCTCTAGGTGAATCGCTTTCGTAGCAAAGCAAATAAATACGGCGACGTAGACTTTAACGCGCGCGCGATTACGATTGCGCCGTTCCTTTACGTAGAATGGGCTGCAATAGTCTACTCCACTGTTGTGGAATGGTCGACTATCGGCGACGCGAGCTGCCGGTAAATTACCCATCACGTAGTCTACCGTAGGTGGATCCACTCGGAAGCATCTGACGCACTGTCGCACGATTTTGCGCGTTGCATTTTTCCCATCGATAGGCCAGTACGTTTGCCTAACGTCATTGAGGGTAGATGTTATGCCTGCGTGTTGATTATTCATGTGTGAGTCGCGAATAATCAACGTGGTCAGATGGTGGTTTCTTGGTAAAAGTACCGGATGCTTTTGAGCGTACGGCAGTGAGGAGTTTTGAAGGCGTCCTCCGACGCGTAGAATTCCCTTGCTGTCGAGAAACGGGTTGAGCGGACGAAGCTTGCTCTTTGAAGATAATGTGGTTCCCGATGTGAGATTGTGGATCTCCTGTTTAAATTCGATTGCCTGCACTATTTTAACGATGCGTACGGTTGCCTCCTGGATCTCTTGCACGGTGAGAGGTCCATTGGTGCGATGGTTTGGTCGGAAGCGCAAACAATAAGCTACGACTCGTTTTAGCTTTGTGGCCGAAGAGTACCGCGTTATGATGTCGTCCGTGTGTACTGTGGTGGTGGCGAGACATGTGATTTTCTTTCGCTCTGGCACGTCGGTTGTGATCGCGAACTTAGATTTTGGCCACTCCGATTCGACGATTGAGAGCCACCTAGGTCCGCGTCGCCAGAGGTCGGTTTCGAGGAATTGTAGGGGCGTCAATCCTTGCGATAATAAGTCGGCCGGATTGTCATGTGATGTCACGTGTCGCCATGTCGTTACGTCCGTCTTCGTCTGTATGTCGGATACGCGGTTTGCTACGAATGTTTTCAGTGTGTTCGGTGGTGTGTGGATCCAATTTAAAACTATGGTAGAATCGGTCCAGAATGTCGTGTTGCGGATGTCGTGTGTGATGGCTCCTCGGACGGTGGCATATAACGATGCTAGGAGCACCGCACCGCATAATTCCAAACGTGCGAGGCTGATGGTTTTGAGTGGTGCGACGCGCGATTTCGCACAAAGAAGCTGCGTCCTGATGTGGCCTGCTCTGTTTATTGTTCGTATGTATAAACACGCACCGTACGCTCGCTCGCTCGCATCGCAGAAACCATGTATATCGATGTGATGGACCGCTCGTTGGGTTACGTTGCGTGGAAACTCGATGTTGTTCAGCAGTTGCAGTTGGTTGACGAAGGTGGTCCATTCTGTGTAGAGATTGGCTGGGAGCGATTCATCCCAGTCGATCTTCAGTTGCCATAGCCGTTGCATTATCATCTTTGCAGTGATAGTTACTGGGCCGAGGAGTCCCAACGGGTCAAAGATTTTGGCAATTGCTGACAGGATCGTTCGTTTCGTAATCTTCTGGCTGCTTGGCGGCTCGACCGTGTAGAGAACCCTGTCCTTCAGCGCGTCCCATGATATACCGAGCGTCTTCATGGTGGTCGGGTCGCCTAGGATCTTCGGGTGGATCTGCTCGTGGTCCAGTCCTGCGAGAAGCTGTGGTTCGTTCGAGGCCCATTGCCGGATGTTCAATCCTCCTCATTCGAACAGGCTGTGGATTTCGCTTCGCAGTTTTCTCGCCTCCTTGATCGTGTCAGCTCCGGTGAGCAAATTGTCGACGTAGAGATCCCGTTTCACAATCGTCGAAGCGTTCGGGAATTGTTCCTTTTCGTCGTCCGCGAGCTGATATACGCCTCTTATGGCGAGATATGGAGCTGCAGTCAAACCAAACGTGACGGTGTTCAACTCGTATGTAGACACGTTGTTTTTCTCATCTCTCCATAAGATGCGCTGGAAGGCTCGATCCTCCGGTCGTACGAGGAATTGCCGATACATTTTCTCTATGTCGCCGGTCAAGACATAGACGTGCATCCTAAATCGCAGGAGCAGTGAAAGTAGGTCGCTCTGTATCGTGGGCCCGGTTAACAACGCGTCATTAAGCGATAATCCGCTGCTCGATTTAGCGGAGCCGTCGAAAACCACGCGGACCTTTGTCGTCGCGCTCGTGTTTTTAAAGACCGCGTGGTGAGGCAGGTAGAAACCCGGTGCGTCGATTTCTTTTACCTGTCTCATGTGCCCTAGCTCGAGGTATTCCTTAATGACCGCGGTGTACTCGTTGCGCAACGCGGCATTGTTATTTAGTTTCCGTTCCAATGAGAAGAAGCGCGTCAGGGCGCGAGATCGTGATTCCCCGAGGTGATTTTTCTTCTCATTGAACGGCAGTGCAACGGTGTAGCGTCCGATGTCGTTGCGTTGCACGTGCTTCCCGAAATGTTCTCTTCCGGTGTCAAATGTTGTATCTGCGGTCCCTCTTCGACTTCCCAGAATTTCTTCATATCGAAATGTAGGTTCGATACGAAGGATCTTCGTGTCGTTCTTGGAACGACTACCGGCACGCTCCCCCCGATGATCCATCCCAGTTGCGTCTTCTGGAGGACGAGGTCTGGTCCATTGGAAGGCGATAGATCGTGTTGTCCGACACTCAAGCACGAGAGCGCGGTTCCGGTGCCGATCAGCATATCGATCGCTGCTGGCCGATGAAAATGAGGGTCCGCGAGTTTAATGTTCGGTGGAATCTCGAGTCGCGAACGGTCGATCTGTACGTCGGGTAACGGTCCTGAGATCTGTGGTATCGTAAAGAACGTCAGGGTTCGTCGATAGTCCGTAATCCGTGATTTTATTGTTGCGGTAACGAGTTTGTTAGTACTGGTGTTCAAATTGTTCAAAGCTTCGATTGCGACTGTCTGTGTGGTCGTGGGTAAATGGAGCTTCGCGGCGAGTTCTTCTGTAATGAAGTTCGCGTTTGAACAAGTGTCGATGAGCGTCCGGCACGGTATCGGTTGTCGGTTGCGGTCCAGTACATAAATCGTCGCCGTTGCCATTAATCCGTTCGTCTGTCCGTCGGAGAGAAAAGTCGCGTTCCGGTGTCGTCGCGTTTGTAGTCGTCGTACGTGATCTGGATTGTGCGCGTCTAGTCATATCGGACTTTCCGATCGCGACGCGGATTCCTGATGCAACTTCGAATTGTGGCGATGGTTGCACACGCGACATCTGCCCGATTTGCAATCGTTCGTCGGATGGTCTGAACGAAGGCAGTTCAAACATAAGTTCGCGTTCTGAGCTGCCTGCACCCGTTCGTACGTGGGCATTCCCAGAAATACGTGGCACTGGTACGCGTGGTGTGCCCCGTTTTTGCATATTCTGCAATTTGTTTCGGCCGGTTTCGTCGATTGTTGCCGTCTATTCGCGCGTGGTGACGGTGGTGGCGATTTACGACCGTTATTAGACTTTCTTGGGACGGTTTCCCAATTGTCTCTGTTCGGCGATGATGGCGACTTGCGACCGGTGTTGGTCGTGGTAGTCGCGAACGTCTGCCGATTAGCGTTGCGCGGTGGAGGTGCCGATTTTCGCGCTGGATACCTTCTCGGCTCCGGTCTGCGCTCTGGTCGACGTTCCGCGGGCTTGGCGTTCTCGTGCGTGCGGCTCCAGTTCGAATGCGGTTCGCTTCGATTCGGCGTCGTCTCAAACTGATTTCCGCGGTGCGATTGAATCCTTAAATGCTTCAAGAAGCTGTGGATGCTGGGCATTTCGGTGTCGGTCAGTGTTTGCTCCCATGTGTGTCTCGTCTTCGGTCCTAGCTTTCTGTTGAGAATCGCCACGCACAGATCGTCCCGCTGTTCAGCTTCGGAACGTCCAAGTGCAGTCAACGATCGTAGGTGCGACTGCATGTGGTCTATCGCGTCGCGTATGGACTCCGGTGAGTCGTCCGGCATGGTGGGCATGTCGACAATTAATTCGGCGTGGCGCATGATCAACGCGCGTTTGTTGTCGTACGCTTCTACAATTTGCTCCCATGCCGCCGTATAATTATCGCGACTCATTGAGAACGACGCTATCGTTCGTTGGGCCGCGCCGATTAACGAAAGCCGGAGGTAAGTTAATTTTTCCACGTCGCTTAGCCCGGTGTGCGCGTGAATCAATGTTTCGAACGCGTCCTTGAATTCCACCCACTTCTCCAATTTACCGTCGAATTTCGGTATGTCTATTCGAGGAAGTGGCACGTTTGCTTTCGCGGTCGTGGTCGCGGTCGCGGACGCAGGCGATGTCGCGGACGATGTTCGTGAAGGCGTGGCCGCTTCACGTTCCGCTTGGGAAGAACGAGTCGGGGGATACTTCGACATGTGCATGATCGCCATAGCCGCTGATATGACGTCGTCGAATTGATCGCTGGTCGCGTCTCGCTCGCGTTGTGCGTCTTCGTAATCTTCGAGCAAACTGAGCTCGTCTTGACCCCGACTAAACACTATGTACTGCGCACGTAATCGTTCCGTTTTTTCTTTAATTTTAAAGAACTCTTGAAGAGAGTCTTCGTATTTTTCCACGTAGTTGCTGAACTTCGTGATTTGTCCCTTGAAGGCTCGCCGTTTATCTTTCAAGTCTTTTATACGTTACTCAGATGCCATTTTGTCGACGCGGGAAATTTGTATTAAACGAGGGTAGGAAGTGGATTCGCGAGTCACCAAATGATCGATATGTCTCGTAACGAGCCTACCTTAACTGATGATCTGGTCGCTGGAGTCGTCGCTGGCTCGAACGGTTGCCGTGGATGCGATCCTGGTCCGCTTCCTCTGGTCTCGTGTGTTCCGTCTGTGATGGCGATTCCGGATTACACGGAGGCGTCAGCGTCGCTCGTCCGTAGGTCGTGGAGATCCGGCTCGAAGGACCAAAAACTGTCGCGCCGCGTGGTCGTTTGATCGTTTCAAACTGTTCGCGTTAACGACTTATTACCCGCCAAATTAATCTTGGGCAACTATTTCAAAATCTACTTTGCTCGAACGTTAGCAAAACGTAGAGTGCGTCACGAACGATTGACGACTTTGTTTCAAAGACTCGAATTAGAGAATTAGAGAATTAAACAAGATTATCTTGTTTGTGTGTTGTTCACACGAGTGACTGCTTGCTACTCTCTCTCGATTCCCTCAATTTTTCCGGAGTCCGCCGTGACTCCCCCGCCAAGTGCAAGAAGGCACGCTGATTGGTTTTTCACGTACGCACAAATTACCAATCAACGTGCCCC